TCTCTTGCACAAAAAGGCCCAGAACCGCACCCAGTATTCTAGATGCAGTCTCACTAGTGCCAAGTATAGAGAAATAACCATGTTCCTCTACCTGCTGGCAGCAGTCTTCCTAAGGCAGCCCAGGATGCTGCTGAACTACTTTGCCACAAGAGCGCATTGCTGGCTCATGATCCACTTGTTGCTCACCAGGACCCTCAGGTCCTTTTCTGCAAAGCTGCTTTCCAGCTGGCCCCAAGCCTGGTACTGCTGCATGGAGTTATTCCTCCCCAGGTGCAGGAAGTTTGGGGAAAAAAAAAAGGGGGGGGGGGGGGTCCTTTTGTTGTACTTCTTGGGATTCCTGTTGGCTCATTTCTCCAGCCTGCTGAGCTTCCTCTGATTGGTGGCACACCACCTGGTCTATTAACCACTCCTTCCAATTTTATATCATCTGCAAATTTCCTGAGGCTACAGTCTTTCCCATCATCCAGGTCATTAATGAAGATGTTAAAAAGCATTGGCCCCAGTATTGACCACCAAGTACCACTAGTGACTGGCCTCCAGCTGGACTTCATGCCACTGATCACAATCTTTTGAGTCTGGCAGTTCAGCCAGTTCAGATTTTCAGTCTGCCTCACAGCCTGTTTAACTAGTCATCATTTTGTCTGTGAGGATGTTATGGGGGACAGTGTCCAAAGCTCCACTGACTGAAGGGTGCAGCCTGATTACCCTCTGTTCTGTGTGACAAATGATATTAGAGATGACTACTTCAATAACCAGTATGGTTCATACACTCAACGTGCTCACAGCTAATACATTATCCATATGCCAAAAAACAAGCATCTCACTAGCCTCCTTCAGGCGATGCCTAGCCCAGTGCTACTACTATTAACAAGCCCTAAGTGCGAAAATCATCTAGTCAGTTTTCAGTATCACTGATAAAATCCTATGCCAATCAGTTTAGGCAGAAATTGGAGAGCTCACAATAGGCTTACTCTGTGCTCAGAGGACACTTGCCCTCTGAGAAGGACAGAGGCGGAGAAGGAGACAAAGAGACAGAGAACACTACACCAAGCAAGAAGAATGCATTTCATACTGCACCTTACCTGAATGTGGGCACATAGCTAGATCCATAATACATACAACTTCTAGAAACAGTTTAGCTACAGTCATGTACAACTTTTAAATCCTTAAAAACAGATACAACTGAGATCAAGGAATTAGATTTTTCTCCATCTGGAAACATTAGTTAGCACAAAATATTGCCATCAGGCTAGGCACAAGGAAGCAGGCAAAAATTTTCAACATAGTTCAGGCATGCAACAAAGAACGCTGACTCTCATAGCTACTGCGTCAAATCCAACCCAGACAGGAATCAACTGGTAACTTCTGATCAGTCCTCACTGGACAAAACTATTACCATTGAGCCCTTATCGGTAATTAACATTTCACCTTCTTGCAAGACAAGCTTCCATGCCTGGAAAAAGAAAAGCAAGCCTGGCAAGTGGAAGCTGCAAATACTCAGCCACACCCAGTCAAAGAAAGAAGATTCTGTAGACAAAAACCTCTCTATCTAGTTATCCTCTGCTCTTAGCCCATCTGTGTCAGAGAAGAAAAATCTCATGTGCTCAGCAAGCACATCACATTGACAGCAACTCAAAGAGAAAGGTGATTAGCCTTTTTTTTTTTTTTAAAAGAGCTCTTACTATTTCCTTAGAAATATCAAGATTATCAGGATAATTGAGATTTCAGCTTCCCCACTTTAGATGGAGGTTTCACCACATGACTCATACGTTGTGAATGTTACAGGGGAGCTTTCTCAGCTCCTGAGCAAAAAGACCTCACAAGATAAATTTGCTCCAAAACGTTTTGGTTAATCACTGGAAAACAAACTTACCTTTTTAAGTAGTACAAATACAAATAAATACTCTCAACCAGTATTTCATTCCCTGCTCCTTCTGCTTTGACATACCTACCAGATGGCCACTGAGTCTTCCAAGGTAAATACAGCCTAAATTTTTATTGTTCAAGGCCAAAAAAAATTTTCTATTTTTCCTGTTATATATGCTAGAGAAATTAATTAGGGCACTGCTGTTGTTTCAGATTCCTGTGCAGGGCATCTTTTCACTAAAAAAAACTCCTCACAGAAGTACCTTCAAGACTCAAAGAGATCAGCCTTACGGAGAGGACTGCTTTCACCCTTGCTTCAGCTCAATGGGTTAAGTAAGGATAGCTCCATTATTACATAACTTTCTCTCCATACAAACAGGAGAGGAGAATTCAGAATCCATTATTCAGAAGAATCATGTTGTATTCAAAACAGTATAGAAAAATTATGTAGTTCTCTATACTGCTGTTGAATTTTACCTGTTCTACAACTGCCCAAAGGGATCAATTGCCTCTTCAAAGTGTATCAGCTACTGCTCACCATAAGATAGGAATTTAGGGGCAATTTACAAACCACTAATTTTTGGCTAGTCATCTTTCACCAGCATTTAAGCTGCTTTCTGTCAGCCAGTTGTTCTAAACCTAAAATGTGGGGCTCATCACTCCTCCTTGATGCCAACGCATGGGTGCAAGGCAGTATCCGTTTCTGTACTGCAAAGGGAAACAAGAATTCTTCTTTAAAAACCTTTGAAAAGCCACCTGAAAGGTAAGCAAATTTGCAATAAACACACTCCTTTTAATTCAGGATTATTAAGACATTTAAATAGGAAAGCATCTGTTATCTAATCACATTGTAAACATGGATATTTACCTAATGGATGTTTATTCCTAAACACACCAAGCTACCCACATATGACAGTTGAACTTCGCTGTTGAATGCACACAGCATAGTAGTAAGAAACCCTCTCACCCAGACAACTGCACAGTAGTTGGGTAGAACCTTTCAATCCAGAGGCAAAAACACTGATTTCAGAAGTACTGGGTTTATATAGTACAGCTTTTAAAGCATTCTGTGATCCCAGGACCCACAGGCTTTAGTTCTTTAGAATCTCCCCCAGAGGTAAAAACACAAAGTTCATAGTTTGTTTGGCATGAATAACCTCAGCAATAAATTTAAAAATCCAAATCCTATTTGTTCTATGGCACTTAGTGAATGTAGATTGTTATGCCTTGCTGTAAGAGACAACCATAGTTAAACCCCAGAAAAGGTGGCAATTCATAAGTGCTGCCTTTACAGTATATGTAAAATAAACCCTTAGCTTGAGCAGGTGCAATATAAACACAAAATACAATACAGTCATCCATGACATTCAGAAGCAATACTTAACTAGAGCATGGACTTCAACCTTAGAGAGATTCCAAGGAGAAAAGTTAACATTGCAAAATTTGGAAGTGGGTATTGAGCTCCGAGTTCATGAGCATTTACATCAAAGATTTGGTTTGGTCCCATCTTTATTTTATAGAACTCATCTTCACTGAGCTCTCCAGCAATAAACAGCAGCCAAACCTTCACCATGGAAATTCTAAAGGAAAGTATTTCAACGCAGAAGCTGCAGCTTCCAAACAATGTCTGTTTTAACATACACCCACGAGCCTCCAAATGAGTATCTTCTGGCAATAATGTGCATATAACTATATCAGAATAAACCAGGATCAGTTTCTGCCTTGTTTTTGCAATCAAAATACATTATGGTACAATCTATTTCCCATCAAACCAAATTCCAAAATGGACTGCAACTCAGTTACACCAGATATGGGTCTGGCCCCTTATGCAAAAGAAGAATGAAGCAGAAGAAAGTGATTGAATCTGAGCACCTTAAGATTTAACAGGCATAAAATCTGTCCTGACAGAGCCCTTCAATAAATACAAAATTAGTTGAAGAAGCACTGCTTACAGTTCCCTAATGACCATTTTAAGTGCAGCAGCCAGGTTTTTAATACAGAAGACTGTTTCCCAGACTTGCCCAACCTTAACCAATTACTCTCACAACGGCTTTGAATAGGATATTTAGAATGTCAGCCCAATTGTTTTAACTCGCCCCTTCAGCCATGGCCCAATTTTTGACAGGTTTGTTCCTGTATTGCTATAGTGACTGCCATCCCTAATGCTTGTGATCAAAGTCGTGTTTTAGAGGTCATCTCCATTTGAAACAAGGGACATTTTTGTGCGAGTGGGAGAGACAGAAAAGGGGGATGTGCGTTAGTGAAGACTCCCTCCTTTCTCAATGTTGCAGTCTCCCTTTCATTTCATTCGGCTCCTAATCCTAGGACCTGCTTTTAATTCCCTAACCCTCTCTCCTACTCCCAAATACCCTATGTGAATTTTCATCTTAAAAGATCCTGGGGACTCTGATCCATTGATTGGAAATTTTTGCAGCCTTCAGCCAGGAGTGGTTCTCCCCCTTAACCAGAAGGATCCTGTCCTGCAGAATTCACTCACTATGCCTAGCAACTTAGCAGTAGCAGACATTAAATTATCATACACACAATCTTACACTTGCCACTTATGCACTCTTAGCCCCATCCTAAATCCATTCCTGCAAGAGCCTTGCAGGCACTTGATGCCTCCTTAAAGGGATCATCCAACTACATGAAGATTTTTCAACCACTATCCAGCCTCAGTGGTAGAAGGTGCAGCACAGAGAAAGCTCAGCTAAGCTCAGGTGTTTATAATGTAGTGTTTGCATAAGCCAGTTTTGACATAATGTTTCAAAGATCCAAGATTTCACATGCAATAAATTCACTAATATTCAGTTATTTTGCAAGTGAACAGTTGTCTTTGAACAAGGATAATTCAAACACTAGGACTCCCAAATGCCTTTATACTTAATCAGCTACAATGGAACTGGAACTTCAGTCATACATATTGTAAAACAAATCATCATAAATTGCAGTACTCCAGTCATTTCTTCAATAAGCTAAAAAATAATTCATGCCAAGGCAAAAGAGAGAACATTCTTTAAAAACAAAAAGAATTTGGCAAGAATCATTTGCTTGAATCAAAGAAAAAAGGAGTCAGCATTACATTACAGCCAGAAATGAGTTCCACTAAGCACTGACAACACATAAGCACCTACCTTGGGATGCCCATGCAGTTCTTCACTGTTTGACAGAGTAATATTGAAAGGCTCTGTATACTGATTAGGTTCTTTCTTCGTCTTTCTCTCTCTCTTTGCTGCCATCACTCTGAAGAGGCAAAGCTGCTGACAAAGTAAAGTTGCCACCAATACCCAGATGTACCCCTTCATTTTGAAAAGGGAGGGGCCAAGTCAGGAAGGGCACTCTCCAAGTGCAAAAAACTTCCACCACCAATAACAGGAATAGACACAAACTTCTCTCTAAAAGAATAAAAGAAAGGGTTAAATCTATTAACGATGATCCACTGGGCTATGCAACGTCAAATGAGCAGCATGTGCAAATATGCTGGTTGCTGGAGAAATACCTGTTCAAGCAGGACACATTGAAACGGTATAGATCAACTCGTTTAAAAAACCTGACTCACTTGAAGAAAAGGTAAGTCCACTCAGCCCTTTGAAGTCTGCATAAATACAAGAGGCCCTGGAAAGTCCTGCCACCTACCTTGAGGTGCCCCCGCACACACACACACACCTTGACCAATAGGTCTTTAGACTCAATTAAAATGCACACAACTACGAAACCTAGAGAAGTCAAACGGCTCAGGGCAACAGTTGCTCAGGCCACAGTTGACAACACAAACCCATTAGGGGGGTTGTTAGGTTATTCCTCTTCAACGGAAGATTTAACCTTCTGTAAGTTAGTGTGTTGTATCCAGTTCAAAGCAGGGTTGAATAGGCTCCATCCATCCTTGCTTCAAGGATACCTCCCCTTCCTCAGTGACAAGTTCCCATCTTTTCCTTCCAAGATGCCAGGGAACCGTAACCCAAGGTTGCTACAGCTGTTGCTCTTCTGAAGGGGCTGGAAACATTAAGAGTTCAGCCAAGTGCTCAGTCTTCTAAGAAGTGAATTGATTTCTCACATACGATAAAAGTTAAAACAGGCAAAGAATCTGAGGATGTACCTAAGTCCATTAAGAGCAGAAAAAGTTTTCCCAAGTCTAGTTTCTCTCCCTCTCTGGCTCAGTTTATCTTCCCTTTTCTTTAAGGAGATGATGAGCAGGAAATCCCTGTGCCGCAAACAGCTGTCAGGATGTAGAGTCTTGTATTTTTTTCATCCTCATTTTCCTTCACATCAGGAAAAATTTCAGGTACCTCCAAGTGTAGATCACCTCTGATACTTCTCGTTGCTCCTTTCCCCAGCTGCAGGCTGGCAAAACCCTCCTCAGCCTTTGCTTTACCTCAGCAAATAAGTACTTCTTTCCTGAAAGAGTTTCCATCAACTTGAAGGGGGGGGGGGGGGAAGAGGAGGAGGAGGAGGGATAACATTTTAATGAGCTGTCAAGCCTATTCTCTTCACATTCCTATTAGACTCACTGATAAGTGGAGCTGGCCAGTGTGCCAGGCAGATTTAAATCAATACACATTCCCTGCTCCCTCCCCTCAGTTCTATTCTGTACCTCCCCTTCATTATCTCAGAGAAATCATCATTTTTCTGGGAAGTCTGCAAAACTGTACATGAACGTGTGGTAGTGCTAGAAATATGTGGCTTGGAATACGCACTCAGCATCATAACATACATCCATACCTCAAAACTGTTGTTTTATACTCTAGTTAGCTCTGTTCCATGCAACATTTTCCCCTAGCTCTCATTAGAGGCTCAGTGGGGCTTTTTGACTTTTTTTATTGGGGGGGAGGGACAACTGGTTATTAAAAACAACAGAAAACATGTTACGCTCTCCTACAAATGTTCCATAAAGATTTTAAAGTACTTGGACACAGGCAGCTAATCTTTGCTAGTTCCCACAGCCTAGAACAAATATTCCTCCTATTCTTTCTACAAATAGGGAAAGTGAGGCACAAAACAATCATTTGAGGTTGTACCATGAGACTGTTCAAATTATGTCGTCTTCAAATTGTCATTACTCTTGAAGTCTCCAATTCAGTCAGCAAGCAACAGGCTTGCTCTCTTTTAATTATATCCTTTCCATGCCTTCTATAATCCAAGTAATAAAGCCAGCACACCTCTTCAGTAGACTTTAAAGGCAGGCAGGGTGGATCAGGATCGTTACCCCCACTATCTTTGTTATCTCAGTCTCAGGAAAACTGAGACAGGAATAATCCAAGCACAAAAATCAAAAATTCTTAAGTCAACAGAAGAATAAACATTTTAAAACACATTATTAAAGGCAGAGAGAAATCCCTTTGGGAAGGGGAAGAGACTGAGAGGATGAAGGGAAGTCAGAGAGAAGTTAAATAGTTAACAGCATATCCCCCCTCCCCGAACTAGCTCACATTCCATCAAAACTACGTGGCAGACTTTATTTGTTAATAATATTTAACTTTCTTTGGCGCCTTCTCATACTTAAGCCTCTTTTTCAGGTTAGCTGTAGACAAGCCATGAATTTGTAAAAGTGCACTTGATGACACATTAATAGGACAATCTGTCATATTGCAGCTAAACAGCCTGACAGATCCACACACCATGGCAAGAAATGACATTCAAGGCTGGAATGGGGCAATTGCTTTTTTTGGTCTGCTGGTGCAGGCTGCCCCTGTCTGCTTGCAACATCCTCCTTTTCATCCCAAGAGACAAAGGTCAAGGCTATGGTATCCTCAGGTCTGGGGGAAAATGAATCCTATCTACATTTGCAAGCACAAGGCAAAAGTTGGCTTGGTGGTCCACCAGGATAAACTGACTGTAGCTAACTCCACACTGTATACGTTTCTCTGTGTTGGCCTGAAATAACTGCATCAGCACAGTTGTTACATCTCCCCTGACCTCCAAATCCGCATGTGTATTATCTGCAGAAACTCGCTTATGTTGCTGCTGCTGTTCTCACAGCCCAGTTGCAGCAGTTCCAAAGCACTTGAATCTTGTCAATTCATAAATACCTGGAAGAGCATTCAAAAATCCTTTGTAAAAATCAGAAATAAGCTGATAGTGTGTTTAATAGTGATGAAACTCAAGAATCTCAAAGCGACTGAAAATGCAAGCAGCTTGCTCTCTCTGAGCAGCACCATTAGAGCAAAAACTGGAATAGCCACTAAAGTACTCCTATTATATAGACTCCTTAGCTGCAATTCCAATGTTAATCTGCTATTAGCCCAAACTGTTGACTGGACTAATAAACAAGGCTGGTAGAAGAACAAACCTAAAGACAACAGCAGACAAAAGAGCAGCTTGGGTAAGAAAGACCAAGAGATCAAGGTCACTTCAGCTGCCATCCACAGAGTACTCCAGCACAGCTGACTGTATCCCATGCTTCAAAGAAACTTTTCATTTAGATCCTTTACACATTCCTAAGCAAACACATTTATAGTCCCAGCCATCTAGCTGCCCTTCACCCAAGACCTAGGTGGTATTATTATGCCATCTTGTGGCAAATCTAGAGAAACAATGAGTCACTTTCCAAGACAAAATTCACTCTTGTCTTGCAGCTTGCTCTTCAGTGTGACCAAGGTTTGAAATAGGAACCCTAATAAGGGGAGTCAAGTCATCCTCAGTCATTTTGGAAAGGAATTCCAGAAAATACTTCTTAATTACTTGAGATATGAGTGCTTTGAGTTCATTTTCAATTAGCGAGGGGGACGGTATGTAAGAGCAAGAGAGTGATCACAAGCCGGTTATTTTTCCGCTGAAAAAATGATTTTTCTACTTTAGAAAGTAAGGTCTGGTCTTTAGTGAGCTTTTTTACTACTCATTTGTCTTTCTGTTACTGGGTTGCACCGTAAGCTATTAATAGCAACAAATTACCACCAGAAATTTATTTAGAGACATATTCAGAAAAACCTTTTCAAGCACAGAGCTTAAGGTAATAATTCTGCTTTCCAGTTATGAGTTTGCTCTTCTGAAAAACATAGAGCTTGTCACTTCCTGATTGCTTACACATTTAAAGCAAGTTGGGGAATCCATGAGATGGGTTAGAAGCATCTTATTTCTTTGACTTTCTGCATATGTGAAGTTCCTCATAATATTTAGTTAGATATTTACTATCATAACTCTCAAATGACCAGTTTCAAAACCAAGCACATTCCCAAACACAAAAGGAATTTCTTCCTACAGAATTTGTCTAACATACGGGCAAAACAATGCCTGTCCTCATAGCAAGACTTGCATCCTGGATGACTATGTTGGTCCTGAACATAGTAGCATGGCTATTCTCATCTGAATAGTTCCACAGTTCCATCTGTTTAACTAACAAAAGCACTGAAAGGCTCTGGACCCTGAACCAGGTCAGTTGATGCAATTAAAAGCACTTTTGTCAGTCTAAACAACAGTTCAAAAGAACTCCAGACACAAGTACTGTTTTGGATAAGGAAAAAAAAAAATAGAAATAACGTTATCAAGGAAAATGCATCATTTCGTAAGACACATTAGAATGCAATTGGGCTCTGACAGATGTCAATAAAAACAACTTTTCACTAAATTACAAAGAAATTGCTATTACAAACAACTAACTACCTTTTGGATCCATGCAGGCATTTGGAATGCCAGAGTAAAATCAAGTTCTACAGATCAAAATTAAGGTCAGCCTGAGTAACAAACTACGTGCATACGGCTTTCAGCAGAACTGAAAGGTGGAAAAAAGTTGTCCAGATACAAGGGAATAGAAGCAGAATGAAGTACGCTCAAACTAAGAAACCAAACTAATTCTTTCTTCAGAGAAATCCTAACTGTTGGGGAGAACAGAAGAACAGCATCTTCTTAAGGTGCAGCTCCTACATGCCTCAGAGTAGCTACTGAAAAAAGATACCTGTGCTTAGACACTGCATTTCAATAACAGCTGTGACATTATGTCACCACAGAACCAGTATTTATCAACAGAGGAACTGAGTTAATATACTGAAGTTCTGAAATAACTTCTTGTACGTGTTTCACTACGGATGGAAGAGGTACCAAAAACTAACTTGAAGGAAAAAAATCTGGAGTTGGTGGACATACAGTTTTACCATATTTTTTGTTTTCTAGTCCAGATATATCCAGTTAAGACTTCTTTCCAATGATCCCCTTCTGAAAAAGAGTCCCATAGAAAGTGTGAATTTTAATATGAATGTTTATTATGAACAAAACTTTACAATGCAGTCATTTCTACTCCTCAGTACATGCTAAGTGTCGTAACTTCTGTGACTTTGAAATCTTGGGGCGGGGAGGGGGAAGTTATGACTACACACAAATCCAAGATTTTTAAAATCAAGAGATTTTTAAAGGCTACCACCGAGAAGTCTCACGATTCAAGTCAAAAAACTTCCCTACCATCTGTGTATGCCAATCCTACATAAAATCTATGAAGCTGCAGCATGAAAGTGAAGGATCAGACACTTGTTCTAGCATCATACATGAAAGGACAGATTTTAGTTTTAATATATTAAGTAATGTACTGCTTCAGGGCACAATAACATTTTTGTGTGGCAAAGAACGGTTTGTTTCATCTACTGGCTTTGGTAACAAAAAGATCAGATACTGCATACTGTTAATAAAAGCCTTTTTCAAAAATTAGTACAACCTACACAGGAGTAAATAAATCTTCTGTTACCAAAGGCAAGGAGTAAAGACATATATGAAAGTCTTGAAAGCGAGAGTGCAAGGGTTCAGCCATCTGTTCTTTCTAACTTTTCACAAATGGCACCTGAAATGACAGTCAAGTCTTTCTCTGAATCCTGGGTACTGAAGAGAAACTGTTTTTGGAAGATACGTTCCCAAAAAAATTAAAAAAAAAAGTGGCATTTACTACAAGCAAGAGACCCACTTTCAGATGCCTAGGGGTAGCTTAAGGCCAACTTCTTGTCACATAATAAAATGCCTTTTATAAGAAATCAACATCTTCTGATTTTACTAGTTCTTTTACCTTGGTTAGTTACATTTCACAAAAGATATGAATACACCATGCCCAAGGTCTCCTTGCCTTTGTCTTCATTTACGTGGGTAAAAACTTCCATGAGGAGACAAACATAGATAACTACTTGTAAACTTCTATCTGTAGGCAATGATAGAAAAAGGCATTGTGAGAACACAAACATGTTTGAAAGATTCTAAGCTCTATAAGGCATAGCAGCCCCAGCTACAGGCTTTTATGCTTTGAAGAAGAAAAATAAATAAATATATCAGTCTTACAAGCCATCTTGAAAATTCTATCACTCCAGGAAAGACATGACATTCCCCTTTCCCTCCCATGCATCCCCAGACTGACAGAACATAACTGTTTTTGGACACAGATACAACTGGTGCTTCTCTTAAGAGAGTTGCTTGAGCACATACAAGAGGCAAATTAAAGAGCAATTATAAATAAGATTAGATCAAAACCACAAAATCAAAAAGCCAAAATTTATACATTTTAAAATACAGACTTTTCCACATTCTGCCTCCATGCATCCCATTTCCTTCTTCCCTTCCTTACCTCAGTAAGATCTGCCTTAAGATTTCTTTAGTATAGGGCTGTTCCATTAGCTTTGATAATTCCTACCTATTGCAGAGAATTGGTCACAGTATTTATTTATTGAGGCTCTAAGCTACATGGCTCATGGGTTTACCACAGGGTTTTTTTTCCTTACAATTCAAGATACCAAGGAGAAGCAGAGCAATGAAGCAAATCTGAAAGGGAAAATAAAACAGCTTCAAAAAATTTCTTAAATACATGAGGTAATATTTATTGGGCTCTTCACAACATTTAACAAAGAATATGCAGTTAGAGGCAGAGCTTTTTACCCTGCTACCACCTTTTACAGTTTGTTAGATCATTAACAGTGAGGGCATTCTTCCCCAGACGACTAGACATCACTGTTAATTATGAAAGGCACAGTAAGTTTGCCTCTGATAAGTCAAAGCATTTGGATAAAACTAAGCGGGGGGGAGGGGGGGAACTGAGTTGGAAAAGTAACTTCAGACTGTCAAACTGCACTAGGTTTCTTAGTGTTTATCCACAATCACGTAACCTCAGGAACAAACACTGACATTTCAGTCATCCATCATCTGAAGGGGAACAGAGAGAAACTTAATTTAGAAGCCAAAAGCTTCTGGGAAGTCAGGCAAAATAGAAAGAGTTGTTTTTTGTTTTTTTTAAACAGTTTACCCAAATTTTCAAGCAAAGTAAGCAATACTAATTCTAAGCAGTTCACTTCAGCTAGTGGCACTTCAGATGAATTCAGCTGATTTTGAAGAATCTGGTTCGGTATTCTGCCACATTTGTCTTTTTAGCTCCACAAAGGCTACTGTATTTTCATTTACTAAAGCCCAAGAAATCCAGAGAAGTTTCTTCCGAAAATATAATTAACTTTTCATTGTTCTGTGCAGATTTATTATTTTTAAACAGTGGCACCTTGTGTTCAAAATAAAGTATTACAGTTTTAAAATATAACATTTCCCAAAATGGAAATATGTAACTAAGTGAACAAATCCAAAACAATATTAAGTATCAGTATCCCCACTAAGACTGATTCAAATATCTTTTCCGGCTAATTGTTTCCTAAAGGACGACAACTGCACTTCTTGTAGCCCAAATAAAACCTTCTTAAATTATATTGTGACAATTTAGACAACACATTTAACACACATGGTGTTACTTTCCCACTGATCTAATCACTACTGACTAGATATGCAATGACGTTCATTCTATTTTATAAAAGAAATCAGCTATCTTCTGTAGCATCAATGCTCACATTAACCAGACCCTCACTAAGTCTCCACTTTACTCATTTCAAACCTTGTACAGACTCTTTGCTAATGAAACTAAAATATGATATGCATCAAGTGTGAAATTTTAAAAATTGTTCAATCTAGTAAAAAGCCTTATTTGCTTAAGATTTTCAAATTTCAAATAACAGAACAGAGAAATGCTATAAAAATCAAAGCATTAGTAATGCTAGCTTCTCATCAATAATGCTTTGACTTGTTCGTGAGCCACTACTGAACAGTAGCAAGGACAACAGGATCTGTGAGCAGAACATCTTTTAGTTTTCCGACTAACTGAGCCTACTCCACTTTCCAAACTTAACCCATGAGCCAACCAATGTTTTACTTGCAACTTGGTAGTACAAATATTTATCCCAGTACCAAAGTCAGATGCCCAAAGAGTCCCACTTATTCTGCAACTATCACTATTTTGGTCTTGAATTTCTGCTATACTCCTCATTCTTGTGCTATGCTTCTCAGTACATACTTGACTGTGTAGGCAAAGGCTGCAAAACCAACTATAACAAACAAGTTCGCCAAAGCTCCTCCTAAGAGTCCATGGTTACGATTGGCCTGTTGGAGACCTGGATGATTGGCAGGTGCCAATTGTACATGCCCATTAAGAAGGGGAATTCCATTTTGACCGTAGTGTGCTTCCCCATCCGGAACAACATCAGGTAAAGGAAGGGATGGAGGTCTGTTACTGAGGTCTTCTTGTGCTTTCTGTTTTTGTTTAATCTCCTGAGAAGAAGAAAAACAAAAAAGAGAGAAAAAAAAAGAAGGAATACCTGGAAGTGAAAGTGGTGAAGCTTTTGGGTGTTTAGAAAAGATCTTAGAACAAAAAACTCTTATGCAGCTTTAGAAAAAGGATTATGGCATACTTTCTTTATACTGTGAGTCTTTAGACTAAATTAACTGCATTATATACATATTTGCACAGTCTCCTCAACTTCTTCCCAAGTCACCTACTTCAGTAACTGACACTAACAGTCATTTGGACAAGGTACATTCACTGAGACGGTTTTTTTCAGAAATGATAATTTCTTGGAGCAAAAATCTTGCATGTCCACCTTGTTTCGAAGGCAAGACATTCAAAATCTTAAAAAACAAATCCTAGAAGTATTGTATGTTAAAAATCTGCTTGTATTTGGAACATCACAGCAGTATTAATTACTGACACATAAGAAAAGCTTCAAAGTTCCCAAATGACTTAGTTACTAGGAAGACAGTAGCGAAGAGAACATACTTCTGAGTGAGGAAAAAAAGAAATTGAGATAAACCTTTTCTTTTCCCAGAAGGCTTTCCCAAAAGCAGAGAAGGTGGCGATTTGTGAATAACTTTGCAAAGGATAACATATAAATCAAGCACGCACAACTGCTGAGAAAGGCCTCTTCTGTTTGTAGGCAATGCTTATTTCACTAGCTGCCCTTACATCTTTATCATCTCAGGTATCCAGCCAAACCACACATTTCTCCTGCTTAAGACGACAGCTGGGAGAAAAAAAAAAAAAGGCATCCTCTACACCTTTTTCCTCTCCTTCTATGGTATATATTCCTTGGGCGATAATTAAGACCGGCAATTTGGTGGAATTTGTACAACCTAAAACATTTTGTCTGACACAAATTTTGTACCTAAAACTCCAAATTACTAACGAGCATCTGCATTATTATATTCCAACTCTGAACGGAGTTATGAAACAGCCTGCAACAAAAACTGTTCCCATTCATATGGTATCCAGAAAATTAACTTGCAAAGGCTCTGCAATAGGCCGACTGTTCCCATTCATACGGTATCCAGAAAATTAACTTGCAAAGGCTCTGCAACAGGCTGAAAGAACTGAATTCCCTCATTATCCAGTTATAGAGAAAAGAACCATCTCAGGACAGGAGAACACCAAGAAGCATCCTTCATTCATATCAGATGAGACCTTTTAGAATCAGCCACTCTCAGTGGAATCTGGCTACAGAATCCCAGAGGTCTGACTGAAGAAAGGTCTAAGTTTTTTAATTTTTTCCTTATACTTAAATTGTTTGTGCAACTCTTGCTCCAAAGGAAGGGCAACTGTTTTCAGGAACTGCATCAAGCAAATTTCCCTATCATTCAGTTATTACCTATGCTTGAAGATATAAACTCTACATCAGAATACCTACAAGGTTAGTGTTGTGCAAGAAAATTATATATCCTGAAAAGATGTCATTAATCCTCAGAAGTTAAGCAGGAAGATCACAAAGCTCTCTGGTCTTAAAGAAATATTGAACACCTTCTCTGGTACCAAGGGATCAAATCCAGATATACAGAGATAAGTGCTACCCAAACTCAAGCAAACAGAGTATATAGTTCTAGAGTTCTAAAGCAATCGCATTTCATGATTCACGTTTTTGATTCTTACACAATGCAAAAGCGCATTTAAAGGGCTTCCAAGGTTGACAAAAACAGCTAGCGTCTTGGAAAAACCCTAACCAATTAGCGTACAAATCTACACAGACAAGTTGAAAAACTACAGAAGACAATTATTGCATGGATGAACTCCCTTACCTCCACCACTTCAGGGAAGAGTTCACAGAAGACTTTATCTTTTAAATTAAATGCTAAGCTTTGTGCAGCAAGCTGTCTTTTCTGTGAAGGCAAAAAGAACAGAGGCATATAAATGAAGTTAATATGCTTTAATTCAGCATCTGGTTACTTCCCGTAAGAATGGTGCAAACGGCTAGCCAAATAATTTCTAACTTTTACAACAAATTCATATTTATGAATACTGACATTCCTAAAACCAACTTGTGTTCTCCACTCTTCTTACGTGGTTTGTGTTCTGTACCTGTGTGCCTGCTCAGTAGACACTCTGCGGGAAGGGAAAGGAGGAGAAAGTCCTAACAATGTTGTTTACTAGACAAGATTATAAGTTTTCTAAGAAACCCTCCCTATCCCCACGCTACCTAAAACTGACTTGATTCATCTGCCCATTGCCTCTGTCTGTGAATAATGACATATTCATCTCCGAGATATTTAAATGCTGGCTGTTAGGTCTTTGTTCTAACATCGAGGTCACATCCAACCCTTCCTGAGCTGACAAAAGGTATATAACATAGTCTGGAGCTTACTGTGAACTCTGAGGTCTCTATGCTGCCCAGTGTGGGGCCCTTTTCCACCATAAAACTAAGAAGGCCCGTCAAGATCGTTGAGACTGACCAAGCTGGATTCCATGTATCAGGGTGGAAATCAGTGATTGAAAGACACAACCTTCAAAAACAGAAGACAGGCAGGGTGTTTTATTTTTGCTACTGAAAGGATTACACATATTATATATTGCTAAAGTGGTGTTAATTGATTAAGTGTTAGAAGAAAATCCTTACCTTGTATTACACTTAAACCTTCCATTAGGAGTAATCATATAAATACTAGGAGGTTTAAAAGGAAATTCTCTGGGGAATATTAGTTTCCCATGATAATAGCCACCTGCATTACATAAAGAGATGAATTACTTATTTTGCATGAAGATGAAGTCCTAAGCTACTCATAAACTGGGCCAAATAAGACTTCTTTCCCTTTCCCTCTCACACTAAAGAGATCAAACTCAACATCTTGTGCCTCTAAACTACAGAAATGATGATCCACACCTGCAGTAGATTCACTTTGGAGGCATTGTTCTATCACATGCATACAAATAATATACAAATAATATTTCTAGTTGTCAAGTTCAAAATGCATTTAAAGAAAACTTGTCACAGTGTATTTAAGCCTTATAGCAAAATGAACAGGTTGGTTTTCCACACACACGGCTAAGCAGAAATAAAGCCCCATGAAGAATCTGATTTTGAAAAGAATCTTATGGGAGACTTCAGAAGACGACATAAAATATGGGGCTAGAGCAAATTAATATGGCTTTTCCTTTCCTCTTTTTCTGTAAACAAATTAATAAAGAGGATATAGGTCACAGTTCAGTGAGAGCATTTATATGGTAAGCTACACAGCATACTGAAAAAAAAAAAAAACCTAAGGAATAAAACCCAATGAAATGGGTTTTTCTGAAGTGATCTTTGGCTGTTGCATGCTATGCAAAGTGAATTATCTGCTCCAGGACCTTTAGCAGTTACTTAACAGAGAGTTATCTTTCTTCAATGCTTAAGAGCACCAAGGTACAAAAAAGAAATTTAACCTAAATGTGGTTTTCTTAAAATCCTTGATAACTTAGAAAAAATCATTAATGGGCAATGGTATCACTATCTCTTTTCAACAACCTCTTTATCACACAAATCACAAACAGCATGGAAATTGCACTAGAAGTTTTTAGAGCTGCTTATAGTAGTTAAATTTTGCCCAAACAGCCATGCAATTTCTCAGACATGCAAACGAGAACATAGAGTACATGCATGTTTTTGCTACACGCTACTTTTTACCTTCATATGGAGTCATTTCAGGTCCCCGTACAACATAGTGCCTAAAAAACAAAAAAGAAAATTTAAATGTTATGAAAGCCAGCACACAATCAGTCATCAATTTCCCTAGAAAAAAGAAGATTGATATCACTTCAGCAAAGCAGTTTCCTACGCCACCTCCCAAAAGCAAGTTCCCATACAAGCTGTAGGAGTGAGGGAGTCGGACTTGATGACCTGGAAAATCTCGTTGTCTCCACAAGCGTGTGAACAATTCATTCTAATTCTTACCATTCAAGAATGTTAGATGGGAGGGGTTCTGCACAGATATAAGGCACTGGATCTTTCTTAATTCGAAGGTAGTCTTGTTTAAGTCTCTGCGTAGCTGTCGTCGGTGCTCTCTTATTACTGTTGCTGCTCATCTAGTTTTTCAAAAACATACATAAGTATATATAATCTCAAAATAATCTCTTAACAGATGCACAGTTACTATGCTTCATTGAACACAGCTCTAGATTTTGCAAAATCTACTGAACAGAGCATTTTTTAAAATATAAATAAAAGTGCCGTAACTTTCAAGTAACAAGAACCATGCACAATTTTAACCAACATACTCCCAAGAAACTTTGTATATAGTCAAAACACGAAAATATACAGCAGTTTTCCAAAAGGAATAAGCGCTGCATTGAAATGCTGTCATAAAAATAAGCTGCACTGTAGAACCAACTTGAACTCTTAATAACCTGTCCTGTGTTTAGGCTGAACACACATCACTACAATGCTGCTGGGCTACCGTCCTTTAGAGCACAATTCATTTCGCCATTCAGTTAGAATAGCTATTATGAAATTTCATCACAATTTAAATCCATTTGCTGTTTTTACCACTTCCAGTTACTTAAAAGAAAACAAAAACTTATTTCTGACTTTGTGGTGAATGATTTTAAGTTTAATCTGCTGCCTGCTTAGGAGTCGGTTCAACTTAGAGAAGGGAACACCTGAGCCAGATCTGAGCTCTTTTTTAACCAAGAGCGAAGAAAGGAAGTTCCATGATCCTTACAAGACAAAGCATTATGCCTTACAATGCATTTACAAAATACATACCAATTAATAACTTTCATTTAACTCACTTTCCTTTAGCGAAATCTAGCAAGGAATTGTGGCTCACACTCAGTGAATCAAAAAAGAACTAAAAGGAAATACTTACAAACAGCTTGCCTAAAGAGGTAAGACTATGCTCAAGTATGTGATAGCAGCATCTGACACTAAAACTACGTTAAATGCGTCTGAATAATCTTTTTAGTCTTTCACTTCAACCAGACGGTCAAGTACAACTTTTTGAAAAGCTGTATTTATACCACTACAGTTAGTTATCTGTGGTCAAATGTTCAAACTGAACACGTTTAACCTGACTTCTGCTGAAAATATTATTAATCATCATTTGAAACATGCAGCATTTTTCCTGAAGACAGTCATATACGTTGTTAAGTCTCTTCTGGAAACCTGAAAATTAAAAGGGACTCTTTTTAAAGCAGTCAGCTTCGACTTTAAAAACGGATCAAGTCATGCTTTTAAATTATTTGCTCTGAAGTCTCACCCAGGAGTCCCTCACAAGGGACTGCAAAAATATACTTCTGTCCTCTACAGTATTATATATAGTCACAGAGGTCCTGACAGCCCTCAAAAACCTTATCTAAAATAACATTTGTTTCTTGAACTCAAAGAACAAGTTAAACGAAACCCTTGACAAAAGCTACCTGAGCACCCAGGGCCTTCCCGCTTCAGGTCAGGTCACCAGAGCCAGAACAAGCCGGGCCCTGCCCCCGGCCTGCCTCACAGAGGTCCTGACAGCCCTCAAAAACCTTATCTAAAATAACATTTGTTTCTTGAACTCAAAGAACAAGTTAAACGAAACCCTTGACAAAAGCTACCTGAGCACCCAGGGCCTTCCCGCTTCAGGTCAGGTCACCAGAGCCAGAACAAGCCGGGCCCTGCCCCCGGCCTGGCAGCGGCGATGGCAGCGCTAAAGCAAGGGCGCGCCACAGCCCCCAGCCCCCAGCCGCGGGGAAGGGCCCCGGGGCAGGCGGCCGCGCCGCAGGCCTCAGGCCAGCCGCGCCA